CTGTAGCTCCATAGGGAATGCAAACCAGGGAAGCCACAGCATCACCTGCACTGCCCTCCTAAATTTCATTCGTACTTCAGGAGACTGAAATGTTGGTACTGGCTCTCAGGTTTCAGCCCACCTTGCTTAAGCTGGGAAGAGTCTTTAGAAAGACTCAAAGACTCAAAGGAGGCTGCACCCATCACTCCAAAGGTAGAAGGAGGACCTCACCATGCAAGGCAGACAGCTGGGACCTGCCCACTGAGGACAGACTCCTGGTATCCTCAGATCAGGTCATTGCAAAGTGGAGTATTCAGTGATTCACCAAAGGATCTTCTCATGCTGAGGTGACTTTGAGGCAAAACACTCGAAAAATCCCCAAGTAAGGGTGGTAATATCTTAGAAACACAAAGCACTGGGCTGCATGTGGTTTATCACACGCAGTATTTGTAACCCAGAGTTCACAGAGGGAGCTCTGCAAGGAATAAGGTAAATAAATGGATGTTATAGAGAAAAATGAGCAGACCATTTGTAATAGGTGGCTAATTTCGGCATTAATTGCTCCTTGGTAATTACTGAATGATTGCTGATTCTGTTTTCTTACATGATATATGAAGTCGAAAAAAGGACTTTAAAAAAGAGAATAAACATTCAAGAGCTAGAATTTAACAGGAAAAAAAACAGAGGGAAAGGGAAGGGAAAGTGGCCAGCAGAGAGAATACAGAGGGAAAACAAGGGACGTGTCTATGGTTACAGCCAGATTCCAGCCCTTAGCGACTTCCTATTATCCATCATTTGTTAACTAAAACTTATACCAAAACATTAAAAAAAAAAAGACTCGGAAAGATTCTAAATTTTAATGGGTTGGAATCAAATTTGCATAATCTTTGCAGCATACATTATTAATATTATTTATAAAATTTTAGCTTTTCTTACCTTTTTATACATCTGCATCCCTTGTCTACATAGTGAAGTATAATTTGGAGCTATAGATTGGGCTTTGAGTAGTACTTTGGTGCTAATTATTGCTCATGGCCTGGAACCTCAGATGACAGTCATATATGGCTGCAATCCCATCCTCAAAGTTCCTCAGCCACAATACACAAATAGCCCATTAGAGTTACCTTCCGGGGGAGGAGCTCTGAGCAGCTCTCCTGTCCCTTCTCAGCAGTGGAAGAGGCAGTGTCTTCAGTTCAGAGCAAAGACTTTGGAATCAAATGAACCTGGATTCAAAATCATCCAGGACAAATGCTTGACTCTGAGTTTGTGGGTCTTTCCTTACATGGTGAGCACATGCATTGGGCCATTGTGAGGCCCACATGCAGAAAGGCCAGGTGGATCCCAGTAAGACCTCAGTGAATGTCCCCGCCTTGCTAATGGCTTCTGCATACCTGCCCTCCCTGTTCTGGGAATACTATTTCCAGCAAGGTGGAAACCACCTTTTTGAATCATTTCATGGAGCTAATATTTCAATTAGAGAGAACACAATAAACAAGCAAGTGAGAATCCAGTGACGGATGAGTCTTCTGAAGGAACTGATGCAGGGTGAAGGGAGAGGAAGTGACTTCAGACAGGAATGTCAGGGATGGCCTCTCTGACCTGAACCCTGAGTGACAAAAAGGAACCAAACATGGAAAATGGGATAAAGGGTGTCCCAGGCAGAGCGCAGCAGGTGTACAGGCCCTGAGCGGAAAACATGCTTGGTACATGAGAGGAGGGGAAAGAAGGCCAGCGAGCCTGAATGGTGAGCAAAAGGGAGACGGCAGGGATGAGGTCATACAGGTAGGTGGAGCCAGTTCAGGGAGGGTCTTGGAGGTCAGGGTAAAACATCTGGATTTTATTCTAACTCTGAATAGAAGCTATTCTAGGATTTCAACCAGAAAGATGATGATCTGCTGCGACCTTTTAGACAATCTGTGATGATTGTGAGGAGCATTGGCAAGGAGGAGAGGGATTTGTGGGGAGACTCTTGTGGACTCTGGGTGAGAGGTGATGGCATCTTGGAGTAGTGAAGCAGTGGAGATTGGGAAGCGAATTTAGATCTATTTTAGAGACAGGGCCAGAAGAACATGCTGGTGGATTACATAGGGGGTGTGGTGAGGATAGGATGGATATCGAGGATAATTACGTTTTGGCCTATCTGGGGAGTGGTGCCATGGGAGGAGTGGACTTGGCAAGGGAAGTCAGGGGTTGGCTTTGGATGAGTTCAGCCTGAGAATCCTGCTAGTTATCCCTGCAGAGGTGTCGGGTATACAGTCAGGTCTGTAACTCTGGAGAGAAGTCAGCTTTTTGGAATCTTTTAGAACCTTGGCTGTGATCTTTTTGTAATCTTTCAGAACGAAGCCCAAGTGGGGACGATTTCTCAGCTCTGTCTTTTCCCAAGTGTATGACTGTTTCCCCCCAATTCCTTCTCTGTGCTAATGATCTGTCCCTTCTATCCTCTTCCTTAAATTCATCTTTCTTCTCTTGGCCCTGTTATGGAAAGCCCAAATCAGAGAGCCTTACTGCTGGCTTTGAGGATTAGATGTGAATACAGACAACCAAGAAGAACTCCTACAAGGTGTTGCCTGGGTCCAGGAGCACAGGTGCCTAAACAGAATTGTTGGACACTGCAAAGCACTCATCCCTATATCCTAAAGGTCCAGGGCTGTTGAGCTGTGTCTCCCTCCTTCAACATCATAGCATCCCTCTTAGCTTGTCCTCTGTGTCAAGACCCTTTACGTAGAGCCCAAGATTTTCCTAATAAAGAAGAGGTGAACTGTTTTCTTTCTTATCAAACACTGATTGCAGCCTCCATGCTTGGAGAGATGGTAATTATGAGTGTTGCATGTTCCCTTCCTCCGCAAACCTTTTTAAAACCTTTGCCTGCCACTATGCCTCTAAGAGGGACCACCTAGGAGTACTCCTGAAGCAGCATCCCAAATGGGTCTCCCTAACTATGTGCCTGATGGCTGAGAAAGGTGAACATAGGCCCTGCTCCCAGGTCTCAAGCTAGAACAGAAACTTAACAGCCTATTACGGTGGGGCCCTGCTTCCCCTGGGTTGGAAAAGACTCTGGCCCAGTCCAGGAGGGTGGGGCAGGCATGAGTGACAATGCATGCTAATTAGCACTGTGCAGAGCTGTCATCAGGAACCCAGAAGCCACATGGTCCCAACCTGGTTTGGGGTTGGTGCACCAAATTCAAACCAGCTGGTCTTTGTTTAGAAACTCTCTGGGTGGGTCCCGACCCTTTCTGGACAACAGAAGGGCTGGTATTTCCTTACCCTGAGCCCTGTTTTAGTCACTAAGAGATTCTACAAACTCTGGAGCTAGTGCTGTGATGGAGCTGGCCTCAGAGGCACACATTCTTTCTTTAATTTGTTTGACAAGTAGGAGCTGGTATGAGCCTAGGATCCTTATTTAGAGAAACAGGGAGGAAATAAGAATCTCCTTCCCTGACTACCTGCCTATAGGGTAAAGTCTAAACTCTTTCCCAAGTTCTCCGTGACAGTCCTCCTGCCCATTTCTCTCATCTTATGTCACCATATCTCTGGCCTTTCTCTACCAGCTCCTTAACTCCAGCCATTCTGAGCTATTTTCAGTTCCTATAAGGGGCCCGCTTCTCCCTGCAGGGCCTGTCTTTATACTTCTTGCTTTGCTGGACACCAGCTTTAATCCCTATTCCTCTGGCTAACTGGTCCTCATCCTTCGGGTTCCAGCTACACTGACCCTTGCTCAGGGTAACCGCATTTGTTTGGCTGTGCCTGTTGTATGTTTTAGCTTAATGTTGAATGTACCATTTTGTAATTGTCTGTTTACTCAGAACTGCCAGGCCCCAGGGGGGCAGGAGCCTTGCTCACCTAGTTATCCATTGCTTCTTCAGTACTAAGCATCAAGAAAGCCTTCAATAAATGTGTGAATGAGTGGCTCCCTCCAAGGGATCCAGGCCTGTGTTGAGTTCACACTTTCCATTTTAACATCTTCTAACCCAAAGCAAAGCTGATGAGACCACAAGCTGCTCAGCAGTTTAGAAGCACAGCAGCGCCCTGGAACCCAAGATCAAAATGGTATCACCAGTCACAAGACAACAGCATGTTCAGAATGTTTCTGTTGCTTAGAAATCATGTCTACCCAGCATATTTAAAAGACAGCACTAGGGAACACATCACGATATCAGCTGAAATTTTAGCCTCAAACATAAAAAGGGCAAAATTCAGTAGAAGTAGAGGGTCAGATGAAGAGACTTCTAAACCTGAACTCATCCTCTGTGTTTGCTACTTGATGCCTGAGAGAACATAGGCAAAAAGCATATTCCCCATCTGCATCACTCATCTGTTCTTTAAAATGGACACAGTCATCTGCACTTAAACATGTTGTCACAAAGAAAAGGGACAAAATTGACCAAGTGTTTAGCAAATTTCATGGCACTTAGTACTCAAAAATTTTAACTATTATTGTTATGTTTATTAAAATGAAATAGCCTTTAATTTTTGTGGGTTGTAGTTTTCTCCTTGGAAATAAGTTCATGAAAGTGAAAAAATAGAGTCACAAAATGACATGTAGAAAGGACTCTCATTTCTGCCAGGGAGTAAACACACACACATGCACAGTGTGTGTGTGTATACATATACTGTGTGTGCATATATATGTGTGGGGGCATTGGGGAGGTGTAGGGATATGTGTGCATATAAAGTCTGGGAGGGTATTCTCCAAAGAATTAATAGGAACTTCCTCTGGGAGATGAGTTTATGGTTGATTTTAATTTTATTACATATAAAATCTGGAAGGGTATTCTCCAAAGGATTAACAGGAACTTCCTCTGGGAGATGAGTTTATGATTGATTTTAATTTTATTACATTTGCTTTACTATATTTTCTAATGTGAGCTTATTACTCATAAAGTGGGTGATGCAGGAGAGGAGCTAACATTTAAAAGCAAAAAGAAGGAAACTAGGTAGAGGGCAACAAGGCATGACATATGCTTATTCCTAGTTGCAGGTCTTTCTGTTACTGAACTTGGCCCTCCCTTGGGTTTTGGCAGGATTTTTTACCCAGATCTCCACCTTGGCTGACGTGCAGGAGAATGTCATGGAATACCTCCACGTGCTCAGCCGGCCCAAAGTCATCGACCAGGAGCATGATGTGGTGTGGACCGAAGCTTACATCGACAGCACCGTGAGTCCACGGGGCCCCGGGAAAGAGGCTGAGCTTTACTCCCATCCCCAAATGTGAGAGTTTTCTTGTGTTAATTCCAGAAAACAGCAACTATATCACTCTTCCTTATTTTCTGGGCTCAATGACATTTTTCTTGATTGTATGTATAGTTTGTGTTGGTCATCTCAGCAAGCAGAGTTGGTGAAAAATCATAATGTACTAGAAAGTACGACGTGTACTTCGGAAAGGTAGCTGACCAGCACAAAAGAAATCACGTTTTGCTTGTGTCTTTTCTAGTTACTTCTGTCCCACTTTTTCACGTGTTCAAATTCTGTGAGTGTAGCAATGATTACAAGCATGATCTTAGATTCTGTCCTCGCCATATGTGAGCCCCAGTCCTGGCAATGAAACTTTGTGTTTCAACTGGGAATGTGAGCAAAGCTCAGCTCTAATAACGAATTGGAGCCACCATGGAGGCCACAGTTGCATTTTCTTCCCATGCATAAGTGAGAATATGCTCAGTGGTGGTTCAGTAAGCACCGGATTGTTGTTTGAACTCTGGCCGTGGGCCCATTCAAAAACTGAATTGCAAGCAGCAGATTCTGGTGCCGAAATTGCTTAAAAGGAGGAGCTTTGCCAATCATCAAGTAATGGCTCAATGGCTGGGTTTCTTGTGTAATCTCAGGGTGATTTTTCATAGTGATAATCAGTCTGATGGGAGTGGTGTTTTTCATTTATTGATTATAAATGTTCTCACAGGGCCTCTCTCCAGTCATTTTTGTTGGGATTAACATCACATTAATCACTGTAACCCAGACACAGCTGTCCTCCGGAGTGATCTCGATGGCTGTCATGGGTCAGCTTTTCTCTCCCTGGGCTCTCTCATTCCTGCTGCATTTCTGGCAGCTGCAGAGGCAAGCTCAGGGCAGGAAAAGCACGTGGGAACTCATTTCAGGGGACACCATGACACAGGCCAGGCCACAGCAGCTTGCCCCGTCTCAGCCTTCAAGAATGCAGGGCAGCCCTGGAAATATGAATGTATCTACTTGTCAAAAAGGGAGACCCCTTCCCAAGGAAAAGTCATCTTGAATAAAGATGGATGTTGAACTCAAAAGGCCTCCTCCATGCTGGGGAGGCTGTGAGCTTTTATTAGCTTGAGTCTGTCCCGAGTTTGGTTTTACATCATGGAAATAAAATAAGCTGCCCCATTTATGTTGGCACCATATTAACAATAGCAACCATGGTGATAACTTCATCTCTTCATCTTACATGTTATTGGGTAAGGCAGGAAAAATAGGAGTGAGGAGGAGGAGGAGTGTGGCTAGCCAGTATTGAAGTAACCAAATCACTCAGTGGTTTTGTGTACAAACCAAATAGCCAGTTTGATCAGTCATTTTATTTGTTTCATCAATTAAAAAAAATGTAAGACACAGTTTCTACAATTAAAACATTATGGTAGTAGCACCTGGATAGACAGATCAGTAGAGTAAAAGGTCCAAAAAAATCAACTACATATGGGAATTTAGTATACAATAGAGGTGATGTCTCAGATCAGTGGGGCTAAGATGGGCTTTGTAATAGATGCTTTTGGGAAAGTCAGCCATTTGGAGAAAAATAGAATTAGTCCAGTCTTCACATCATACCCAAGAAAGAAATCCAAGTGGATCAGATGACTAAATCGTAAAAAAACAAAACCGTTACTAATAAGCACTAGAAGAAAACCTCGGTAAATTCCTCTGTGACCTGGATTCTGGGAAAGACTTTCTAACAATGACTACAAAATCCACAGGCAATAAAGGGAAAAGATAACTAAGTTTGGCTACTTAAGATAAAAACAAAACAAAATAAAACAAAAACCAACTTTCGTAAGCCAAAAAGATATCTTAAGCAAAGCCAAAAGACAAATGATAAAATAGGTGAAAATATTTGTGACATATAGCACACATGAAGAATTAATATATATAATTATATAAATAACTTTTACGTATTTATAAATATATATATGTATAACATATAAATAACTTTTAAAATTGAGGAGAAACCCCTAAAATTGTGCTAGGAACAAAATGAGCAAAAAATTAGACAATTCACAAAAAAGAATCAAAAATGGCTGTTAAACATAAGATGTACAACTTCATTCATAATAAGAAAAATGCAAATTAAACTATAATGAGATACCATTTCTCACCCACCAGAGTGGCAAAAACTAAGAGCTTAACCATGCACTCTGTTGATGAGGCTGTGGGAAAAGGAACACTTATTTATTGCTTGTGGGAATGCCAACTGGGGTGATTTCTATGGAGGTGAATTTGCATTTACCCTTTGACCCAGCAATCTTACCTCTAAGAATTCAACCCTGAAGATGAACCACTAATAGCACAAAAATGTATATGCACAGGTTTGTTCATTTAGGAATAGCTTGTAATTCCAAAATACTGGAAGTTACCTAAATGCCTAAACATAAAAGATTGAATAAGCTATGGTATCTACGCCTAATGGAGTCAATATTAAAAACAAGAATGAGAATGACTTGCGTTAGCTGATGAAGAGTGATTTACAGAATATACTTCTAAGTAAAATGAGCAAAATCATATATAGCATACTACTTTACATAAGAATTATATATAGCATGCTACCTTTTATATAAAAAACAGGAGGAAATAAGATACATAATTACTCATTTTACAAAAAAAAACAAAAACAAAAAACAGAGTAAACCAGAAACCAACAGAACTGTCATTCCCCCCCGTACTCAAGCCCTCTTCTCTGCACCACCTCTGCATCCTAACAAGACATGCAGAGGAGAGGTCTTGGGAAGGGAATCACATACCTCTGAGTATATCTTTTTGCACAGTTTCAACTTTTGAAAGCACGTTGATGTTCTATGTATTCAAAAATTAAAATTAAACAAGAATGGGGAAAATTAAAAGTGAATGCAAACAGAACAAAATGAATTCAATAATATTTCAAATGAGTAACAAAGTTTCTCAGAAGGGGAGGAAAAACAAACTTTAGAATATACTAGTACACACAATATTAAATTTTGAACGCAATACTGTCACTATCTACTCCTCGATCCAGGGAGGACAATAAGAATTGCAAATAAATTCTAAACTCCATTTCGTGTCATTTGTGGTAGTATGGTTACAGCAATTCTGAATCTATTTTGTGAGTATGGTGGGATTGGGCAAATGTGTAAACGCTGAAGACAGGACATCTGTCTATGGGATTAGACTTGATTGAAAAATCCCAACTCTGCCCTTCAAAAGGGCCTAAAAGCAGTGCCACCCAAGTAGCAATGAGCCCATCCAGTACCCAGATTCTGGCTTCTAAAAACCACTCCCCCTAAGAGGAGCCTGAGGCCCTTAAAGTAATTGCTAATTCCAGGGCTGCAGCAGGGAAGTTTCCAAATAATAATAATAATGATAATAATAATAAGCCTGGAATAGTTTGTGCCAGAAACTAAGGCAGTGCTCAGAACAATAATGTGGTCATGTCAAAAGGATGCAGGATCGGCATGAAGAGGCTGTCATTGGTCAAATCTGGGACAATTTGAGCCTCAAAATAAGGAATGACAATAATGGTTTACAACTTGTTGAGTAAAACATAAATCCACGTGTTCTTATCAATAATTAATAAATAAATCCCAAACAGATGAACCAGATAGACAAGTAAGTGGGTGAGAAGGGTGCAGTGTATAAGGGCTTGCTGACAGGTAAATGTGGAGGGAGTGGTGGAGTTAGAAAGTCACCGTTTTGCAACCATTTTAGTAAAGACTGGTTAGGCCAAGGGTCTATCAATGGATGCTAAATCTAGGGGGAAAGTCTGATGATGAGCAGGGTATTTTTTTGATCTCAAAGTGCTTCTCTAGGCTTTTCATTAGTCATGGGGAGGAGGTGGGAATAGCACCTAAGCAGTGGGATACTGTGTACACTGTCTTAGCATACTATGTATTGGATGAATCTCAGCAACATTTTGGGTGAGTCCTCAACATCATTGGTGGGCATCACCAGTGAGAAACAGATGGACACTGTGTGCCTGTGGAGAAAGACACATCACACTTATGTATTGTTTTGGCCAGGAACACATAACCTGATGCTCATGGCAGACATAAGCTCATGAAGCAGATACAACTTTGCATTAATGTGATGTCTTGCTTTAGTAATGTTCACCACTTAAATCGGTCATTGTATTAGCTTTGCTAATTACATACAGATATAGGAAGTTAGAGGGAGAAACCATTGCTGCTGAAGCTTTTGCAGTAAAGAACTTTTGTGACCACAGAGCCAAAGTAGATGGTCTGGGACAGATCTGGACATGTAGTTACAGAGGAAAGTCTCTGACGTCTTTTGCTTTGTCTTAAACATTTGCATGAAATTTACATTCTGTGCCATAATCCTCCTTATTTACTTTAAAATAAAATAATATTTCAGGTGGCTCATTAATAAGTAGACTTGGTATGCCAAGATGACAGAGCTCATTTATTTTACTTCTTCAAGAACTCTTTAAGGTTCATAAAACTAAACCCACAGAATTGGGTTATCCCTAAAATGATAGCCCGACATTGTTGCTATGCTTCCCAAGGTTCTGTTGCTGTACCTTTGCAAATAGCCCTGATAAATAGATCTCCTGGTAGAATGTTCTGAGGGTTCCTTCTCCTCTTGGTGGTATTGAGCAACCTGTCAGGCCAGGAAGGACACTGGGGAGTCTGTCTTCCCCTTTCTTAGGTCTGCTGGGTGAAGAGAAGGCAGCTGTTGCTTCAGTAGGTATCTCTGACCAGGAAGCAGCAGTTTCTTCCAACTCCTCATCTGGATCTGGATTCTGCCAGGACATGAACAAACAAGCAACAGAAAAACCCATCACTTATATAGGGTCAAAATAGGATTCACATGGTGACCTCATCTGTAGAGTCTAAATTCTGAGATGCTCACCAACTTTGGAACCACCCAGAAGATCAAGGGGGACATTAGCAGTTTGGAGTTCATGACTGTCCTGACATATCCAGGACCATTCCAAGCCAG